ATTTTAGAGAAGAAAATTTTTCGGTCGCTACCCGGATTCGAACCCGGGACCTTTGAATGAGAGGCCAACACCTTAACCTCTAGGCCACGTGAGCCCCCACCTATTTGTCTACACATGCTTGAAATGTTGCTTCTAAAATCTAATGTCTTCAGGAGCTGTTTCAGGTATCAGTTCACTGTGTTTAGTATAGGCTGGCATTTCGAAACACTGAAACAAGAGCCCCTAACCTTCTTTACACATCAGAAGAAGATGACAAAACCACAAGTGTGAGGCATCATTGAGTAATCAGGCGCTCCTCCCAAAAATGAAATTGAAGAAACCAACATTTTTCTGGCCGCTGGGTAATTTTTTTCAAACTTTCTTTTTTTGGCCCACACTTTTCTTGTCCATTCAAAAACAGATCTTTGTGGGAATTTTACTATAAAAAACTTTGATTACAAGCACCAAAAATGTACGTTTGCAGTCTTCAAGGACATTCAAACTTTGGAAGTAGATATCTAATTAAACTTTCTGACACCAGGCAACCCCCACCTCCTTCAATAACAAATATCTCAACCTCTATTCAAAATAGATGGGTATTTTTTTTCACCAAAAGCAAAAAAAAAAAAAAATGGCCAAGCTTTAAGATGATACCAATAACTCCAGATGCCTAACAATTGACGAGCGCCTGATTCCACCGCATTGTGACACAAATATCTCACATGTTTGATGTAGACGACCGTTCCAGAAGTTTCCACCATCGGACTCTTCTTGTAGTGCTCCACAAGCTCTGACAATGAGGGGAACATCTCACCGCCTCCCACGTCGTATTTGCCATTCTGAGGAGAAAAAACAAGAAGGCTTTATCAGACCTGTCAACCCCTCAATGACTACAAAAAAGGGAGGAATTCCGTAATGAGAAAACCACAATGAAACAGAGTAGAATAGAGGGTTAGGGTTAGGCTTACGGTTTGGGGTAAGGGTAGGGGTAGGGGTAGGGGTAAGGGTAGGGGTAGGGGTAGGGGTAAGGGTAAGGGTAGGGGTAGGGGTAGGGGTAGGAGTAGGGGTGAAGGGGTAGGGGTTGGGGTAGGGGTAAGGGTAGGGTCAGGGTTAAAGTTAGTTAGGGTTAGGTCTCTTCTTTATTGTGTTTGTTTTGGTGCTCGCTTGTTATGGAAGTCCTTCCAAAAATAGGAGTCTTCCTCAGAATCTTCACAAAAAATCGGAGTTTGGAGAGAGGAAAAATCAGAGCCTCCAGAACCCCAGTAAATTCAGATTAAGTTACCAACCCATTGTGACAAATAAATGTGTATTGTAAATACAAGCAAATAAACACAAATAGAAATGTGTATTTTCACCTCATTTATGAAAAGTCACACAAATATTGCTCATAAACACACAAAAATCTGTGCATTTTCACATTATTTACAATCAGTCAAGCAAATATTGCAAACAAACACCTTATTTTCTTCCTACTTTTAACTGAAAGTATAATGAGTGCCCAAATACTGGTTCTGATCAAATAGCTCTCATTTTCTTACATTTTTTCAAAACTTATACAAAGGGCAAGTACTATTTAGTTTTAGTAAGTGTTCAACGGCACTTGCAACACAATAAGGTCATATAAGTGCCGATGGCAAGTACTTGTAGAATGATGCTGACAATGTCTCACCCTACCCTCCCCCACATTGTACTTTGGGATAGGCCAGGGCAAGATCGACGGCAAAAAGACTCGAGGCCTTGATTCCAAAACTGAAAAGAATCGAGGAATCGAGTCCGATTTTCGAGTTTGGAAGCTGCTTCAAGTGGGCTGTTTAGAGGTCATGACTTGAACACTGCTAAAAATAGCTCTTAAGATCGAGACCTCGAGTCTCGAGTTTGACAGATGTGGCTGGCTAAGCCTGCGCGCGTGCCAAGAGAAAGGGGAAGTGAATTATATAATTTGGGATGGGCGGGGGTGGGGCAACAACATTCAAAGTAGCAGTAGCCTATGTGCAGCGTGGGCTACACGGTAGACACGACAAGTAGGCCTAGGCCTAGTTTAGCATTCACTCATAGCGGGGAAGAGGAAGAGGAAGAGGAAGAGGAAGGTGGGATGGGGTGGGGGGGGGTGGAGGGGTTGCGTTACACTAGGCCTACGAAAGTTCGTCCCGGGACAGACTCGTCTGACGTTTGAAACCTTTGAACTTGAGTGTAATGTACCGCACCTATTATTGAGACGAGACATTTTTGTTGCATTGAGTCCCGAGAAGTTGTGAATTGCTACAACATCGGTGGGACAGTATGACCTAATACTGTTTTCTCTTTCTCTTTTGTCTAATATGAAGCAACAGAGCACAGGCACATGCAACCTCGATTCATCCACCTTGAAGACACAGTCTTGAATCTACATGTATCAAGGCCTAGTGTACGCCAAATTCAAATAGTGAAAAAAAAAACATAAGTAAACAAAACTCACAAAAATTAATTTAACTTGGTAATCGGGCCTTAAATTGGGTTCCCCCCGTAATTTTTGCAAATTTTGGGTCGCTGATCACGAAAATCTTATTATTTCTCAAATTTAGCCAATATTTAAGAAATTTTTGGAATGCATTTTTAACTCCACCTAGGCCAACATCAGAGAAGCCGCCTTATGCACCAGATCAGTCCTGTCCTGGTGCGGTGTCTGTTTTGAAGCAAAAAACTCGACTGTGGGATGGGACAGCCCTTGGCCTATCCCACGACATGACTGTAATAGTGCGGTAGAGATTTAGATTCTTGCCTCGATTCTCAGAGTCTAGGCTGGGAACAAGGCTAAAAAAAAAAGGAGACGGGAGGCATCGACCCTGGGCGGACTCGAAGCTTAGAGTCTTTGAACAAGATCGATTCTTTGAGTCCTCATTTGGACTCGAAAGAATCGACCCCAGAGTCGATCTTGCCCTGGTCTACTTTGGGAAAAAGAATTAGAATGAGCGATCATATTTGTTCCCCACCTGGTGTAAACATTTAACATTACTTCAACAACGTACCTGACATCTAATCTTTACATGGGTCACTCGCTCTTCGCACTTGACTGAGATGACGAAATCTCCGGGCTTACTTTGACTTTCTCGCACCAAGAAGCTGGAGTTCTTGCCCTTGTCAAGGAGGAGCCGCTCCGCCTCCCGGCCAGTGAGATGCCCGTGAAACCATCTGAAAGGGCAATGAAAATATCCATGTAGTATCCAAATCAGGAGACAATAAGAAATATAAATGAAACCACTAATGAGAAATCCCATTCGCCAAAACATTATTCAGGACACCATATGAAACTTCAATTAAGAACAATAATCCTCATCTGAGAACCATATGAAATGGCAATGAAAAGATAATATGTTCATGAACATGAAAACACTAACGAGAAATCCCATTTCCCAAACCGAATTATAAGAACATTTTTAAAAAACAAAAAACAATGAAATATCCTCCTCTGGAAACCATGTGAAAAGGCAATGAAAAGAGAAAAGATATAATTATGAATATGAAAACACTAATGACATATCCCTTCTTGAACATATGTTGACGGTGTTATGCTCTCATAGGGTAACTAGAATAAATAGATTATAGGTCAGTCACTCTTTCTATTTTCTGAAACCATTGCAGGCCAAGGTCTTCAACAAAGTACAGTGGGATTATTTTTTTTGCGTCTTCCGCCCTCATCATGTAAACCAGAAGAGTTTTTTTGCTCCTTGAAAAAAGTTAACCCTCAGTTTGCTGTCCCATCAATAGAGGGTAGTGAAGGAGCTTCATCTGCTAACCTCATCCCCTCCCTTTAATGCTCTGGTGGGTACGAAGATAAGCAGCAAAGAATGGCATAAGTAAAAGTGATCCGAGGAGATACTTTACTTCTACCCCATTAACAAAACTTCACTTTTCACATCACCTCACCTACTTAGTGCAAGAACGTCATATGTCACTTTTTTTAAAGACGTACAGCCGAGTCTTACACTAAGCAGTCAACATGTCTTTTCACTCCCTTAGGTAAAGGTTCCCCGACAAGGGGATGCATGAACCCCGAAGGAGTGTGCTAGGCCATGATAAGATAAGATAAGATAAGATAAAATAAGACAAAATAAGATAAAATAAGATGAGATAAGATGAGATGAGATGAGATAAGATAAGATAAGATAAGATAAGATAAGATAAGATAAGATCAAATAAGATCAAATAAGATACATCTTTATTGCCCAGATCTTGGCACATTGCTTTGGCATTACACACACATGCACACATATGCACGTTCATGTGCACACCTATACAGTATAACACAGACAGCTCGAATTCGTCAGGACCAGCCTCTGTGGTTCAAGGGACCCAGAGTTCGACGGATGTGTGATTTCGAGTTTTCTGTGTTCGACCTATCCATGTTGAACTGTATATATATTCACTCTGTCTGGCACATCCTCTCTTCTACACACATAACCATAATACAAAAGTATGCTGGCACTCACAAACAGGTTTATGGTTGTACGCATAATACAAATGAACAATAATTATAAATATTAATAGTGTGAAGCTAGATGCATACTCAGTCAGTCAGGGAGGGAGGGGGGGGGGGAGAGAGAGAGAGAGAGAGAGAGAGAGAGAGAGAGAGAGAGAGAGAGAGAGAGAGAGAGAGAGAGAGACAGAGACAGAGAGACAGAGACAGAGACAGAGAGACAGAGAGACAGAGAGACAGAGAGAGAGAGACAGAGATAGAGAGAGAGACAGAGAGAGAGACAGACAGAGAGAGAGAGGGAGAGAGAGGGAGAGAGAGAGAGAGAGGTTTCTGAAAGTCAAAATTAGAGTATATTATTTGTTGAAAAAAAAAAAGCTCAGTAGCTCAACTGGTATAGTGTTTGCCTGTCAACCCAGAGGGCGCATTTCAATCCCCGTCAACATCGAGTGTTTTCATCTCATTTTTACACCCCCTGACCCTAGTATAGGTATGACAGAGCACCTTGTCTTTTTGAATAAGGAGGAAAAATTTCAAAGGTCCCAAGCAGAAATTAGGCATATTAATGAACCCTTGGTGGTTCTAAAATTGCAAACAGTTGGCACTTCCGACAGTCATCTGGACAAAATTCAAAACCAATTCCTACCTAAAACTGATCCTACGCTAGTCTTCTTCTTCTTTTTCTTCTCCTTCTTCTTTTTCTTCTCCTTCTTCTTTTCCTCTTCTTCTCTTCTTCTTTTTGATCGCATCACACTTAAAGTTCTGTATCTATAATTTGCTATGCCTTCCTGCTCAGTTCTGCTGGCCTGTGAAACTGTAAAAATTCAGAGTATCTTCACAAACGGCACGCGCCTGCCAGCAAAGAAAGAGACAATTGTTTGTCCTATGTACATAAAATGGCCACGTACTCCAAAATCAAGTGCATTTTGAGAAGAAGATCTTACAGTCAGTTACTGAGTTCTAGCAGGGGTACCAGATGAAAACTCCCTGGGGATTCAAAATGACCTCTGACATCCAGAGGAAATTCAAGAGGAGAATTTAAGGAGCACAGGAGGCCATCAACAATGCCCCTCCAAAGATGTTTGTTTTGTAAATCTTTTTCAAATTGTGTCCAAGTTTTGCCCAGTTTCTCATTGCCTCCCTCCATCCTTCTCTCGTTGCGTACAAGTTTTGCCCAGTTTCTCATTGCCTGCCTCCATCCTTCTCTCATTGCGTACAAGTTTTGCCCAGTTTCTCATTGCCTGCCTCCATCCTTCTCTCGTTGCGTACAAGTTTTGCCCAGTTTCTCATTGCCTGCCTCCATCCTTCTCTCGTTGCGTACAAGTTTTGACCAGTTTCTCATTGCCTGCCTCCATCCTTCTCTCGTTGCGTACAAGTTTTGACCAGTTTCTCATTGCCTGCCTCCATCCTTTTCTCGTTGCGTACAAGTTTTGACCAGTTTCTCGCCGCCTGCCTCCATATTCTCTGTGTCACGTCCTTTTCCACCTTTCATTGTCAGCCTTCTCCAACAGTGCCTTTGTGCTCACAAAACTCGAACAATTTAAGGTCAAAAATCTTATTCAAGAAAGTATGATTTGTGAGACAGCGTGGTGACATCAGGCCCTCGTCAAAATGATGAAAGTCAAGAAACTGGCATTTTTCTGAAGGTGTGTGAATTTTTTATCGAAGTTTTGTTTTTTTGGCTCAACACCCTTCGTGCCCATAATTAAAGAGCGCATTTCTGTGTGGATTTTACTGAAAGATGTGGATTAGAGGCATAAATGATGTAAATTTTCAATTTCCACAGACTCAAGTAAGGGGCTGTACAAATATAATCTTACACCTTTTTAAGACTTTTTTACCCCCCCCCCCCCTTCTTACACTTTTCTTACATTTGCCTCCAACCCCCCCCCGTAATATTACATTATTCGCTTACAATACTAATAATATGACATTTATATCACGCAAATCAGTGTTACAATCATTGTTCCATGCGCTTTACATAATTAAATATTCATTAAGAATATGCATATGTTCCGCACAATTTACAGATTGCGCCTTAAGACTGCGCATTCTAACGACGTATAATTGCGATCTTAAGATTGGGCTGCACATTTTAACGATCGTATAATTCACTTCCATCTTTATTCTTTTACTCACACCAAGGAACATTCACGTATATTTTCAAAAGCGCAAAAATATTAACATTAAAATTTAAATTAGATATGAAACTGAAGACCTCACAAGAAAGATACAATTGTATAATCGTTAAAACGTGCAGCGCAATCTTGAAATAGCTCCACATTCTTAAGATTGCCATGCAATTATACGATCGTTAAAACGTGCAGCGCGATCTAAGATCGGTAAATTTCGCGGAACACATACACAGATATCATACGTATGCACATAATAATATGCAGTTCTACATTTACTTAAAAATAACAGAGTAGATCCTTAAAGGAAATTATTGAAGACACTCTTTCTTACTAATAAGGAAAAAATGAGACTCATGTCAATTTCAATAGCGCCTTAATTACAAATAAAACAAACTACAGTGGAATTCAGGACCGAAAAAAAAGTGCTGACTTTGAGCAAGGTTGACTTTATCCATTGTACTACTCACCATTGAAAATTGAAGATGACAGCTACAAAATTACAAAGTACCTGGTAACAAGATGTTAGCTCAATTTCAGTGAGTATAATTCTGAAGTTGTCACCAAAACAAGAGATAATGGGTGAACAAAGTAATTGGAGGTGCGTACACCACTAGTTCAGGACCTAAATATCTCTTCTTAAATTAAATGAATTCATCTTGGGATTTAGCCCCAAATTGTTGACTTTACGCAATGTCAACACTCAAGCAGTTGACTGTACATCTATCAGAAACACAATTACTTAAACAAAGAAGGTAAGAAACGGGACCACAGTGAGGTGTTGACAGTAAGCAAGAGTTGACTTTATCAGGATTCCACTGTATCTGTTATTATTGATCATTATGCTTAAAACAAAAAGTGAAATAACTTATCATCAACAAAGGCAGCGTTCATCATTTTGTCAAAAATATTTTTTAAAACAGGGGCATCTGCAGAGCTGTCTTCCAAATATGGGTCCTGCTCCAATTTCCTGCTCTGTCTCTTCTTCCTCCACCTCCATTTTTCCTGTGTAAAGCCCTGTGCCTCTTCAATGCTGCAATACTTGGAAAATATTTTCCACATTCCGTGTGGCCTCTGCACACCACGCAGCCTTTCTTGACTAAGGCCACCCTTTTCCTCCTTATTTTTTCACATCACAAAAGTGTAATATAACATTGGTTCAAGACCCCCCCCCCCCTTCCTTAAGGTGTAAGATTATATTTGAACAGCCCCTAAGAAAATAACTCAAATTTGGCGGCAATTTTCTTGCTAATTTTACCTCTGAAACGAGGTGACTCCCACCTCCTTCAATCGCCAATATCTTGACTTGTATCCAAGGTAAATGGATATGTTTTTCATCACAAGCAAGGCAAATGGACAGGCTTTAAGATGATACCAATAACCGCATATGCCCCAAAATAGAAAAGCGCCTGATTCCACCGTGTCATGACACATTTAGTTTTTTGCAGTTACACCAAGAATGTGCGGTTCAATTTCTGTGTCTACCTTTTTTTTTACTATGTTCTACCGCTCGGGGCGGTGCCACTGACTGAAGTGTCTTTAGGCCATTCCCAAAGGGGGGACATTTCTCGTTCTAATGCACAGTAGAAATGTAAATGGGCTGATCCAACAATGTCATGCTCATAACTGTGCCTGAACTACAACAAGGAACTGCTGCTTTTCCTTTCCTAATCCTTACTATCGTCATTTTTCTCTACTTCTTTTGTATGTTTGTCACACTCTTGTGACCCGCTATTTCCGGGGTGCCTTGATAGTCAAAGCAGACTTTGTGCTGTTGAAGCTAGAGAGGTGAGCCGAGTAAGTCTGATTCCCTGTAAGGACTTCTCTGTTGATATCCACACCCTAGCGCTCATATGACCTTATGCAGTTGCGAGCGTCAAAAAACCTCTACTTTAAAAAAAACTACTAAGTTCTGATATCTTGATAATATTTCGTTGGCGAATGTTTAGAACCTCCTCTCGACCTCTTTCGTTATAACCTCCAGATCTCTGCTCCATAAAGTAGAAAAGATTTCATACTGTTCCTAAGCCATCTGATCACACCTTTTTCTTCTTCAGATCTGAAACAGACATCGGCCATCATGGATTGCCATAGATTCTCCCCTCGCACGCTCTCAAGCAGCTTTCACAATTCTGGTCTTTTCCCTTTGCCCATCATTTCTGTGCTTGGTTCATGCCTAGTCAAAAAAAAGTGGCAAAGCAAACCCTTAAGAGGACGCTGTCCCTCCACCTAGCCCCACACGCTCCCACTGGAGATCAGGAAGTCAGCTAACCACGCGCCACTTCACAGTCAAGAGCTCATTGGCAGTTTGACCAGGACGTAAACACAATGAATGTTTATGAAGCAATTTGTAACAAAATACACCACATTCAAAAAATCTAAAATGTCAATAAAAATTGACTTCTTGACAAGTTAATGGAGAAACAAGAATTGACTTCTTGACAATTATACCATCAATGTAAATTTACTCTGAATATAATTTTTTTAAACTAAGTAGCATTGCTCCTGGAGTATTGATGAATAAGTGTCTAGCAAGCCCATAAGGAATTATAACATCCACACATCAGCAACATGAATAAAGAGAGCTCCTACAGCTGGATAGAAAAAAAGACCCTTTGTAGACACATGGAGATTTGTCAATATATATATCCTTTTCAGGTTCCCAGGAAATCACCTGCCTGAAGATGATCATGAAGATCCATTGGCCAGACACTATCGGAAATGGAGTATGTAGACTCAGAAAGCCAACCCATAATGTGACAAGACAAAGCCTAAGATGGAACCTCCTGGGGAGGAGAAAGAAAGGAAGGCCGAGATAAACGTCGGAGAGAGTTCTAGAGGCAGATCTCAGGCATATGGGACACAGCTGGCTGGAGGTGGAGAAGATTGCCAAGAACAGAGACAGTTGGGGAGCCCTTCTTGGTAGACTATACGCAATACCAGGGTGAAAGAAGCGAATGAGGAAGTCACCTCTTCATGAGTCACATTTGAGTAACCATATTCGCAAAAACAGAGAATGGTGAAATTTTGTTTTCCAACGCCACACTTTTCTAGAAAAACTTACATATGAGTCACACAACACTTACTGAACAATAGAACAATAACAGCCAGACTAGGCACTAAACCAAAGTGGTTCTGAATCATTTATGGCTATTTCCATTTGGACTTTTTTCCTTTGTTTCTAATTCCTCATTTCCACAACCGAATATCTCTCATGACTTCAAAAGTAATGAACAACAGAACATATCAAGCCAGTTACTCTTTGGCCAAAAAAAATCCATTTAATCATTTAATGTACTAGAGTGTGTGAGTGTGTGTGTGTGGGGGGGGGGGGGGGGGGCATTTGTTTTTCTTTAACGTAGATTTTTTACACCACCATCAACGCAAGCCAGATCATTCATGAAGTGGGCTTCAACCCTGCCTGTCAGTGTCAGGGCCCAGCTAACTTGGGCTGAGAGGGCTACAAAATCCAGGCAGAAAGACCAAAGTACATGATAAAAGGCTTCCCACATGGGAATCAAACTCATAACTTCTTTGTGAGACTATAAAGCACCTAACCACTACGTCACAGATGCCAATGAAGATTGAGTTACTGGCCTTAAAAACTTTTATGTGGAACTTTTTTTTCTGACGTAGCATTGTAGAACTTGATTTAGTAGGTACCACTCTGCTGCTATATCGATATTTACTTTCTTTCCTTCTAGAAATTCTCAACAGGACGTTGGGGGGAGGGGGGCTATTGTGTGGTGAAAGTGGAAAATAGCAATTGTTAGTGTTTTACACCCCAAATCGACACACTTTTGATCTTTTAGGAAGTTGGCTAGTATAGTAGTATAAGGTTTTACGGCGCTCGCAACTGCTAAGGTCATATGAGCGCGCGAAACACAAGTTGTTCACCTCTGCGAGCTGCTCTGACCCTACCTGTCAGGGCCAAACTGGGTAGAAGGAAAAAAAACCCAGCATCCCAGCCAACAGAGAGAGATACTTGCTTTAAACTTCCCCACTCGAGAATGGATTCACGTCTTCTGTGCACCCCGTGCACAACAAAGAGGTTAAAACAGCTACACCACAGAGGAGGATAGCAACCACAGAATAAGAGGGGAGTGTAGGGGCAGTGAGGGGAAGGAGGATAGCACCAAAAGGTACAGGATGAGAACCAAAAGAGCAACTTATCTTTATATTTATCAAGAAGACAGCTGGTTAATTGAAAATGTTTTACATTGTCCCAATGTAGACCAAGTAAGGGGGGGGGGTATGGGAAGGAGCTTGGTGGGGGAAAGGGTGTGGGGACACAGTCTGGGAAAGAGGAAAGAAGACAACAACACAACCAACCTCTCTGGAGTTGGGTCTACAGACGCCATGGGGTACTTGAGTTTGATCACAGCCCCGTTCTTCTCCTTCAGCTGCTCCTGATTGTCCATGTAGTACTGGATGAGCTCCGCCAGTGTGGCAAATGTCTCACCCCCATACAGATCAAAGGAATCTCCTGTGTTCTGGATTTTGATATGAGTAACCTCTCCATTGCGTCTGAAATATGAGCAATATCGTCATGGTCATAACACAATTGCATGAGTCTTTTTTTTTTTCAGATGACTAGTTTTTTTGGTTTAGGGGCATTGTGTAAATCCCCTATTTGTTTTTTACTCGTTTTACGCTAATATCAAAGAAAATGTGTTGGATTCTTAGTTTGCAGTGACCTTCAATAACGAGCTTTTAGATTCTATTAGCCATCCAACTTTAAGAATTCAAAGACCTGAGAAGATAGATTAGAGCAATTTGCTTTTTAGCTTGTTTTAAAGGTGAACAGATGTACATGAACAAGCTATAGTTTGTTTTGAATAGTCTGTGTTTTATGGCACTAGCAACACAATTTGGTAACCCATCAATAACATGTGAACAGAGATATTTGTTTTTGGGTAATGCCCTACTAGAAGTTAAAAGTCACTTCAATTTACGGGTTATCAGAAGTCTATTTTTAGGTAGATAGGACCCTTAATTAGTAGACTGGCGTGAAAGAGAATTTTTAAAGACAACAGCAAACATTGAGTAAAACCACACCATCAATGCCAGAGAAGAAGTGAAAAAAGAGGAGCATCCCAATAAGTAATGGAGTTGTGCCTCCAGTAGGCAGAAAAACAGGACATTTTTAACTATCCAGTTACACCATTAGAGTTCCAATATTCTCCCACCGACTCAGTGTACACAAGAACAAAGTACCTACCTGATGGACAAGGTGTAGGCTCCCTCCGTACTACTCGGCCGTGCTAAGAAACTCCAGTCCTGGCCCTTCTCCATCAGCAGCCTCTCCGCCTGCTGGCCGCTGATGTTGGGGTGGAACCATCTAATAACACCCAGGATATTTTTTGTTAGAAAAATTGACAGAGAAATTCTAATTTCACAAAAATCCATGGCCCTTTCATCAACCACAATAGCTAAAGATTTTTTAAAAAGGATGTTCTTAAATACATTCGTTCCACAGTTAAAGAGTGTCTCAAAGATAATCATATGTGAAGGGTGCTGACTAAATGAGTTACTTCTTGGATTCGAGCCCTATGGAAATCGCTACATCACGCTTATAGGAGAAGTTTTGCAATTTATATAAGAAATAATATAAGGCATGTTATACTTAAAGAATATGACATCAATAGAAAATCTACAAATTTAACCCTCGTGTCGATTTTTGGCTAATGTCTCCATTTGTGGATTATGAGAAGTAACTCATTTTGTCAGCACGCCTCACATATATTTATGTCCATACGCTGTTTGCTAAATTCATAACTGATGTTAGCACTTTTGAGCCTTAAAGTTCAGATCAATTTTACCCTATAATTTTGGGGAAAACTATTAATGGCCAAGACTGCTTATTATTATTGTAAAGAATAAAACAGCACAAAATTTGGTTGAATACATACTTAAGTTGCTTTTAGTTTTTTTATCATACAAACACCCATCCTTTTATTCTGACAGAAAATGTTTAAAAGCTTTTTATTCATCAATCCTTAAAACCTAAAAATGAAGGTGATAGTCCTAATTAGAACCATAAATTGTTTGTTTTTTTACATATAATAAATAAGGAAATAAATTCTTAAAATTTGACAGCAAAGTGCTCAAAATTGAACGTCAAATTGGCTACTTCAAAATATTGTTAATATAAAGCATGCAATTGAATGTTGAAACTATACACAATTTTTTAAACCTCAAAACAATAACAAAAAAGCATAGACAGTTTTGTTTTTTATATATTCTAACTATACCATTTTTCAATAATCAAAGTAAAGGATGCCTAGAGATTAATTGAAAAATATAAAAGTAATCAACTTCTGAGTGAACACTGCATAAAAATTATTTTAAGCATGGATTCTTTTACCTGGAATTGGCCTTAACAGATTCACCAAAGCAGAAAAAGTTAAATAAGACAAAAGCAAAATTTTTTATATTTTAATTGATCATTGGCACATAATTTATAAACAATGAAACTTCAGACTCAGAGTGTTATCAGCTCCATTTTAATTCTTTAGCAGCTGTTATTTGATCATTTTCACATCAAATACAGAGCAAAAGTTAACTAGGCTATATGTCGGTCAATATCAGTTATAATTATATATGAAAGAAATTTCAAAACTGAGTTAATATTATTTTTAAAAACTATCAACTTTTCCCTACAATTTAAAACAAGAATAAAGTAAATGTGATCAGATTTGATGAAAATACATGCGAGGTGAGGAAAAACGAAAAGGAGAAAATGGCATCCAAAGTCGAGCAACATGTTTCCAGAGCAATGGGGGTCTTAGAATTGAGACAGAGACTTGAAATTTAACAGTTATCTCGGCTATGCCACGACGAGGTAACATACAAAAGTAGAAAAATATTCATTCACAGAGAAAAAACTTAAGGACAAAACAAAATTTTCACGAGAATGGACTTCACATCAAATGCAGCAAAATATTAGCATTATACTAGGTACCAGATACTAAATTTTCAAAGTGGCTGTATGTCAGATTCATCTGTTTCATATGGTCCCCACTGCGAGCGAGTCGGCTCTATACTATAGTATACTGAGTGCTTCCCTGAGTTTTGCGGAAGGATTCATGCAAAATAATTCACAGCCGATGACTTTATTCTAATAAAAAAAGAACTGTTCTTTCCATTGGTACCTTTTTTAGCCGCTATTTTACACATTTCCTGTTAAAAGTGATCTTTGAAAACTTAAACGTTTTTTTTCACGGTTTTCTATCCAAACGCCAAAGGCCAAAAATAATAACCATGGGAAACCACGCTCAAAGCTGTGTAGTTCTCCGCCAATGAAAAGACGGCACCTAATCATCAATCTTTCTGAAAAGCATTCAAATGCATGGGTGTCAATTTTGAACCGGCAGACTTCGAATTCCGACCGCGAGGGGCTTCCCTTTCCACGGCAATTCTCTTGCTCCAAATAATCGGATATATAAACAACTTACACTATTGTAATGAAGAAAGTCTGAACTTTTTCAAAGTGTTCAGCATTTGGTGTTTCATAGCAAACGAGCAAAGAAACAGAGATCTGAATTACCCCCATTTTACAGAAAGTGATTATTCGGACTCGAGTCCGAATATGAAAAAATGCTTTTTATTCGGACTCTGATTCTTGTCCAGCATGACATCACTTCCGACTTCCTGTGACTCGTGAATCCGGCTTCCTGTCCTGCCTCACTCGTGACTCGCCTCAAGCTGGGTAGAGACCGGGATCACTTCGGACAAAAAGGCGTTTTGTGCAGGAGCCGAGTTTTAATCTTATGATGAATTTGAGGCCGGCCTGAAAAGTTATAGCGCTTCTAATAAATGTTTATTTATCAAGAGGTCATCAGAAGCAATTAAAGATGGCTCGTTAGCATGTGTCGGGGTCGGATGGGCGGCCTGCACACGTGTGGCTGTGTGCGTGTCGGGGAGGGTGGTGGGGGGGGGGGGGCACTATCGGTCCGGGCTTTGAACATCGCATAAGCGTCGGTCTTTTTCCCCCCGGCAACTGATCATTATTACAATAATAAGCTAGTCTTGACGTAGATCTACGTAATGAATTGTGCGCTGGTCTATGAAATCAAAAGTTGCCGAATGCTCAGCTCTACACAGCAACACAACTTTTTCTTGGTAAACAATCGATATGACACAGGCTTGTGTATTTGAACGAATCGGACTTTTTTTTTTTTTTTTTTTACACAGCTCATAATATGCCAGGTGGTCTGCTAATCTTCAATTTTACCTTTTTCTACAACAAAGAAAGTGGGAAACGTAGGGGGGGGGGGGCGTATCAATGAGGCGGCGGGCATTGGATAGGCAGATAAGGTGTGGGGGAAACTAAAAAATGGCGGAAAATTGGAAGCACTGAACGTTAGATCTATAGAACGAAGACACTTCCTTTTTTCCGGACCCGAGCCCGAATAACATTTTTTTCATATTCGGACTCGAGTCCGAATAAGAATTTTTTTTATTCGGACTCGAGTCCGAATATGAAAAAATTTTATTCGGACTCGAGTCCGAATAGGCCACCTCTATTCTCACCCGGGATGAGAATAGTGCAGGCTAGTCTTTTGGCTATTCTCACCCGGTGCGCGTTCACTGTTATAGCCTAGATCTAGGCCAACAAATTTTGCGTTCACCCTAAACCACAGAATTCTGCACTGTGATAACAGAAAAATTGTAGAATTCTGTGACGTGAACAAACGTTCCATTACAACTGTAGCCTACTAAAAGCGTACAATTTTGTATGTGGGCAGTGGAGAGAGAGAGAGAGAAAGAGACAGAGAGAGGAGTAGCGTGAGAACTTCCGGTCAAAACAAAATGGCGACCCGCGTAGTTCTGCTCGATTCGAAAAGTTAAATAGCCGTAGCATCTTTGAAGACAACCAAATTAATTTACTTTTGTGTTTTAACATCATTTTTTAACTTTGTTTTGGTCAATTTGATCGTCCACACCGATAGACAGTATTCAGAAAGAGACAGAGAGAGAGAGAGAGGGGAGGAGTAGATCTTGCGAGAACTTCCGGGCAAAACAAAATGGCGACCCGCGTAGTTCGGCTCGATTCGAACAGTGAAATAGCCATAGCATCTTTGAAGAAAAAAAATTAGCTTACTTTTGTGCTATAACGTAATTTTTTCTTGGCTTTTATCAATTTGATCATCCACACCGATAGACAGTATTCCAAAATGAGGAAAAGCAGGTCTTGTTTCGCACCGGGTGAGAATAGCCTACGCTGGCAAGTCTCACCCGGGGTGAGAGGCAGATCGTTTTTCTATTCTCACCCCGGATGAGAATAGCCACTTCCGTCCGAATAACGACGGCCTTAAGATAAAAATAAACAACTATAATTGACAATAAATATTTTATTTTTATTATCATTTTTCATAATGATAATAAAAATAACTTTCTTTCGCATCTTTATGTTGTATCTTTGTACATGAAATTTAATCACTTGAAAACATACAAAAATATAACATGAGGCACTCTGCCAGTCTTACTGGGTCATCATTCAGCAATTAACTCACTTTTCAATCAGGAGCTTTCCCTTTTCCTTCATCAGAAAATGAATGTTATTTTACATTGTAACAACTAAAATTTAGAAAATGGTAAGAGGACATCTAGATTTATACTTCATAGATCTAGATCTAGATCTAGTGCAGGACAAGATCAAACAAAAGAAAAACACAGTACGTCCACACAAAAATCACTAGATTCTAAGTGCTGAAAAGTGTTCACTCAGACTGTGGCCTACTAGATAACATGATGTCAGGCTACTATAATGTATTGTGTATTCCTTCTTTTATTAAGTTTAGGCTAGAGACATGGAGTGTGATCTGCTTCACACATTCCTACTGTCTTATTATAAGATTTATTAGCCTACACTATTCTAGATTTATATATTATTATAGATCTATATGGCCTACTTTACTTTATGAATTAAATACTAGAATCTAGATCTAGAATCTAGATCTAGATTCTAGATTCTAGGCCTAGATCTATAGAATCTAGATCTAGTGAAAACATGATTCATGTCACCAAACTTACTTTGATTTTGATGAGCTCTGAACAACACCTTCTCCAACTCCAATCGTAATATTGTATTATTTTATAGAGTCTGTTGATAGGCCTAGGCCTAGGCCTATTATTATTATTATTATTATTTATTGCCTATAATAATATAATGTCTCATTTCACTGTGAAGCAACTGTCGGATCCAATGGGCTAATTCTGCTTTGAGATATGTAGATCTAGCTCTAATCACGCATTTCCTTCCTGGTTTACACTGACAGAACTGAAAATAAACATTGACGAGTTACACAGAGACGAGACAGCTAGATCTAGATCTAGATCTAGATCTAATCTCGAAGTTAAATTAGAAGCCCTTGATTGAATCAACTTGAAAAAAGCCATCAAGTTTTCGATATCACACACACAACATTCGTAGACTACGATCTAGAATTTAGATCTAGTTGTGACGAGTATTATTCTTTTCAACTCACCTCCTTGAAGCTGCCATCGTTACGAATTTCGCAGCTTTCTCACAATTTGAATCACATGGAACAAGGTGAAAACAGTTCTTCTAAACACTCGAGTTCACAAATCTCTTCCTCATCCGACTCCTCCGCTATTGTATGACAAATGAAAAGCGGAAGTTATAGTTCCTTTGACCCGTGTTGGCCTCAATTGTAATGGTTTCGTATTATAAAGTAACACACAAATTATGGTCCTATAACTTGCTATCTCTTTCAGCTTGGAAGACTGCCACATGAGATTTCATTATCAGTAAGACTTTTTTTGTTCAAAAGTTATTAAAAGTAAGCTGAACTTACTCCCAAAAAGAAGTAAATTAATCTACAATGTCACAACATTCATCATTCATTATATGAAGAAACGATTTTGCTATAAATAGATTTACTATTTGTTCCTATTTTTAGCATGTCCACAAACCGTAATGAACTATAAAAGCTACCTATAGCTGCACATTCTTTTTATTTACTATTACTTCTACCTGTTTGAACTCTTCCGATTTCAGGTTTGTTGTTTGCGCTGACCTACCATTTGAAAAAGTTTTATAATGTTCTGATTTTTTTCTTTGGTATTGTATCATTAATGCCGCTAGACTGATAACAAGATCTAAAAAACGAGACCATGTCACTCCATTATTAAAAGAACTGCATTGGCTCCCTGTAAAAGAACGAATAATATTTAAAATCTGCGTCATGTGTTTCAAATGTGTAAATAAAACTGCTCCTTTTTATCTACAAGAACTTATCAGTATATATAAACCAGGGAGAAACCTAAGATCATCGAACGATAACACCCTACTTGTGACACCTGTAAAATCATACAAATCATATGGAGAGAGATCTTTCTCATATCTTGGTCCATTTATGTGGAACAGATTGCCCATGAAACTAAGACAAATAAGAACACTTGATAGCTTCAAAAGACATCTTAAACATTTTCTGTTCCTACAGGCCTATCCTTCATAAGCTTTTAACGTTATTTTTCATTGTATTTGTTCTGTTCCTATGACTGGATGAAAATAGTCTGTGTGTGTGTGTGTGTGTGTGTGTGTGTGTGTGTGTGTGTGTGTGTGTGTATGTGTGTGTGTGTGTATGTGTGTGTGTGTGTGCATTAATGTATATTGCTTGAGGAAGTAGTAAGAAAGGTTTTTGAAAAATGGGTATTCCAATGTAAAGCGCATTGAGATTGAGCTACTTTTTTTGGAAATGCGCTATATAAATGTTATATATTATTATTATTATTATTATATTATTATTATTATTATTATTATTATTATTATTATTAATTTATACTAGTAATAAAAGAACCCGTTCTACGAACGGAATAATAATGAAGAAAGTTAAGAAGAGGAAAAAGACTGAAAACAGGAAAGAAACAAAGCACAAATATTTTATTTTGAATTTATCAATGTAGCACCCCCTCTTGGCTACCTCTAGAGGCAAGACTTCTTCTCCCTCTTCGAAGGCGTGGTATTTTCTCCTAAAGTTCCAGCTCAATCACTTTTTTTTTTTTTAAGAGTTAGGCCTACATGCCAATTGTTGCTTCCTAGAAGAACCTAGATCTAATCTAGATTCTAGATCTAGCCTAGACCTCGAAGGATTATAAAGACATAGGCCAATAATTGAAAGAAGGAGCCTTGGCCCATAGATAGATCTAAGTTTAGAAATTCACATTTTTATCAACCGACGGGCGTCACAGATGGCCTAGATTTCTAGATCTATTCACATTAGGAAAAATCCACTTTCAAGAATACTTTCATGATTCTTACTTTCAAGAATACTTTCATGATTGTTGATCTCGATCTAGATTTACCTACAGCCTAGTTCTAGACTCTAGATCTATTCACAGCAGGAAAAAAATCCACGTTCAATACTTTCATCATTCTTGATCTCGATCTAAGATTCTCATAGATCTAGCCTAGATCTAGATCTTAGAATCTATAATGCTCAGCAAGAAAAATCCACCTTCAATATTCAATAGGTTATCGAAATATCACAGATCTAGATTCTACTTTCATTTCGTGATTCTTCTTGATCTCAATTTATCTCGATACATTAAGTAGGCCTACGGTAGGCTAGACTACTCTTTGCTCTTTCGACGACACCCTCCCTGTCACTCTCACCACCCTCCCTCTGTTAGTGCTTTCTGCCCCCCTCTCTCTCTCTCTCTCTCTCTCTCTCTCTCTCTCTCTCTCTCTCTCTCTCTCTCTCTCTCTCTCTCTCTCTCTCTCTCTCTCTCTCTCCCCCTCCCCCTCTCCCAAGGTAGGGTAACAAACGAAAAAGTCACCACTTTGTCACATGTATTACTACTTGATTCTTCTTCTCCTTCTTTTTCTTCTTGTTCTCCCCCTCCTCTTCTTGTTCCTCCTCCTCCTCCTCCTCCTCCTCCTCCTCCTCCTTAAGGCGTGAGACCAAAACCGGGAATTCCCGTAAACCTACTTTATGTACTTCCTCCTCTTCCTCCTCCTCCTTAAGGCGTGAGACCAAAACCGGGAATTCCCGTAAATCTACTTTATGTACAACTGAACACAAAATACCCTTTGGCGCAGTTGGCACTCCGCAGTGAATATGCCATGTCGAAGCAAATGATGGCGATCGCTACAAAAGGACTGAATTTAACTTAAACTGGGCTTTCTTCTTACACTTTTGATCTTAATGAAAATACAATAGTGCAACACTACGTTTCAAGTTATGGGTACTGGCAAAGTTTCGTATTTGTTCATTCTGTAGTTTTTGGGAATATACTGTTCGCAAAATTTGGCCTTAGCTCCATTAGTAGTAAGATATGGAAATTTAATTAGATATTTATGTGTAAAAACGGCCTATATTCACGTTCATTTCAATGATTATCATTATCAGTATTCAATAAAAGTAAAGGCATGTATCATGAAAGAAATGAAGAGACGTGCAGGCAGATTGATATTAGCCGAATATTATAATTATTGATATATTATTCTGTCGGCCTGTTTCAATATTATACGAGCTATGGGGCTATGCAGATAATATATTAAAATAATACAGTCGAACATAAAATGTATATTAACACAGTACGAATGTGTAGATGATATGCCCAAGTATTTAAAACTGCCTGTAATTTTACGACGAATCCTGACCAACAGACAGTCGAAACACGTAGGCAGATTTGTGAACAGAATAGATATTCTAAAGATTTTCTTCACTCAGAAACATGCACAAAATTAAACAGACCCCCCCCCCCCCACAAATAAATAAAAAAAAAAAAAAAAAACCCACGTGCACAATGCACACGCAGCCAGACTTATATTTTGTACTTTACAACTGTAATTGTTTTGTTTTGTCCTGCGGTGGCGCCATGGTGGAGCAGTCGGATGGAGAGATTTCTGGATTCAAATATATCTATAGAATTCTTTTCACTTAAATTTTCATTTTTGTAAAACAAGTATCATGATAGCCCGTAGACAACAGTTTTAAGGAAATAAATGAGTAGGCAGGCTATAGTTAACGGCCATAATGGAAGTGGCTATCCTCACCCGGGGTGAGAATAAAAATTCGATTTAACTATCACCCCGGGTGACACTTGCCAGCGTAGGCTATTCTCACCCGGTGTGAAACAAGACCTGTTTTTCCTCATTTCGGAATACTGTCTATCGGTGTGGATGATCAAATTGATAAAAGCCAAGAAAAAATTACGTTATAGCACAAAAGTAAGCTAATTTGATCGTCTTCAAAGATGCTATGGTTATTTCACTTTTCGAATCGAGAAGTTCTCGCGCTACTCCTCTCTCTCTCTCTTTTTCTCTCTCTCCACTACTGCCCACAGACAAAATTGCACGCTTTTAGGCTAACACTAACAGTAGTCATAGATATAGAACGTTTGTTAACGACACAGAATTCTACAATTCTGTTATCACAGTGTAGAATTCTGTGGTTCAGGGTGAACGCTTCACTGGTTGGCCTAAGATATAACGGTGAACGCCCACCGGGTGAGAATAGCCAAAAGACTCGCCTGCGCTATTCTCACCCGGGTTGAGAATAGAGGTGGCCTAACATAAATACAGGCCTACATAATATACAGAAGTAGGGCTAATTAGTACTGCCTTTGACGCGAATCCTGGAGGTAGGTAGGTAGGTAGATATAATTAGATAGATAAATATACAGTCGAACCTGCCATGACGGCCACCACTATAAGACGGCCACGTACAAACGGCCACTTTCCATTTCACCCCTTGCTTTTTAATTTTTTTTTCTTCTTTGCAATTTAACTGTGTAAAACGGGCACCTGTCCAACGCGGCCGCGGCCACCCTATTTTATCAACCCACTGTCAAATGTACCTGCCTAAGGCGGTCAGACTTTTTCAAAAATTATGCATTATCCCCTGATTGTGGACAAGCCGCCATAATTCATTCCCCTGACGTTATTGTCCGTCCCTCAATGGATGAAACGGTCATGTTGCTTTAGGTCGCTCCCATTGCTTACTCAAGTTGACCAATGGGTAAAAATAAATGTTCTGCTGCTGGTAAGGAAAGCGTGTGATCCGTCATAACCCAGGCCTTCTCGGAAAACCTAGGTCATAACCTAAGCCCGCCCACAGCTCAGTCCGAAAACCCAGCCCACAACGGTCAATACAAACTCGCGAGAGAAGTGTTGCTCGTTCGCCGAGTGGTGGCGACCCATTTATTAATTTCGCTTTACTATGACACTTCACCTTCCTCGTCTAAAACATTTAATTTTGTTTTGATCTTTCCCGGAACCATAATTTAAAAATGAAAACAAAACTAACAACAAAAAGTCCCACAAAAACCGTACTTACTATCCTCTCCCCCTTTGAAAAGAAATAAATCAACAACAACTGTCGTGTCTTATAGCAACACATTTTAATCAGCCCTGGGGCAGTCCTAAACATGCAACCACCTCCAGTTGGGACCTCAGGAGTTAAATAGTTGGTTTTTTAAAATTTTGATCAGTCCTGCCTAAGACGGCCACCTATCTTATACGGCCACTTTTCCCCTCAACAATGCGTGGTCGTCTTGCATAGGTTTGACTGTAGATAGATAGATAGATAGATAGATAGATAGATAGATAGATAGATAGATAGATAGATCACAAAATTTAATACATAA